CCCAGAGCTGTTATCCATCAATATGTGCCCTGGCCCATTTAATGATTTACAAAACAAATAAACAAAAAGCTTTGTCTATCATGACACAAGGACAACATTAAACACCCTCTCTGACTGCTAATCCCACCTTCCACGAAGCAGTGGCAGACATGGCAGCAACCTGTGGGTTAACGGGGTGTGTTGTGGTTTATGTGATATCCAAACTGCTCTGCTGGGCTCATGCATATTTCACTTTCTCAGAAATCATGGTATGGGGGTGGCTCTCTGAAAAAGTCCCTGAAAGGGAACCTGCTTGTATCTACAGGTCTTGGAGAAAGTCCCCCATAACCATCTGAGGGTCCTTCTCTTCCCTGCCCTGCTGCCCTCCCTGGGGGACAGCCGTCAATTCCTACCTGCCTTCTGCCCAACGACTCCAGACAGTACTCCTCTTTTACTGCAAAGAGAAGAGACACACACAATACAGCAGCTGAGTATTTTTTGTTGAAGGGAAAGGCTTTAAGTAGTAGCAAGTATGAATTAAAATTGCAGATGCAAAGGTTGGCAGAAGGAAGAGCCAAGGCGAAATCCAAGAGAGACCCCAGCCTAGGCCCAAGTGTCCTGTCAGTCAGGAACAACCACCCCCTTAGCATCTGGATGGAGAAGTTTCCCCATCTCTATTCTGGGAGAACTGATGCTTCCTTCCATATAGCTCCAAAAAATGCCCAGGCAGAAGTGATAAACAAACCCTTCCCAGTTCCTCCCAAGTTTCCCCTTGCCCACAGGAGTAGGATCATCCCAGCACAGTGGTTGGGAGGGTGGGTCCCACCTACAGACATCGCTGCATTTCTCACAGTACCTGAGTCTGTTCCCGGTGGGTTTGAGCGCACAGACCCCACAGAAGGCAGCAGGAAAACGAAGGCTCCCTCCTACATCCGTCCCAATGCCCAAGATGGACCCACCACCTCCTACAAGTGCCCCTTCTCCACCAGAGGAGCCTCCGGGAGTTCTGGTGTAGAGCAGAGGGTTGCGCGTCTGACCAAAGATTATGTTCTTGCAGTCATAGCTAAACAGAGAGAGAGAGATCGCAAATGAGGAATGCAGGTATCTGCTGCTGTGGAGCCCAGTCACTACAAAAAGACCCTGAGAAGGTAATCAGGTAATTCACTAGTTGTTACACTGACATCACTTAGTCTGACGGAGCTTCTTAAAGATCCCATGAAGACCACCAGGCTTTTCCTGGTGGTTCCAATACCTGGATTCACTTGACAGCTAATTTCAGTGTCACTAAACTTTCCCCAGAGAGAACCTCTGGCAGCATAAACACATTAAGCCTTCTGGAAAGTTTCCTTGTTCAGCTAGTCTCAAGTGCCACAGGACACCCAAAGCTGAGACCCTGCTTGAGAACAGGCCAAATGCCAACTGCAGCAATATTTGACATTGGACTTCCCCAGGAACTGGTGCAAAATCTGATAATTCCTGAGGCAACCTGTCTGTGTGGCTTTTTTGAAACGTGGTCAGCCGTTGCCACATCGCCTTAAGGAAGGCATTTCATAGGACTTGGGCAATAGTCACCCACAGAGGAGCTTTGCCAGAGCTCACTTGGCAGGATGCAGGGACACTGTCCAGCAGAGCACACCTGAGCTCACCCCATATCAATGATACCAAGACTGGTCTTGCCAGATACAGCAGGATGTTTGGGGGCAGGATAATTTGAGGCTGTTAGCTAAACTAGCTTCCCCTTCCATGAATATGTGTTTGCACTGTAGGATCACCTCTGAGAGGCTAATTTAAAAAAAGAAAAAAAGTGATTTAAAAACACCCAGCACAGGAAAGAAGAGCAACAATTTCTCTCCTTGTCCTCTTTTGCTTCTTTATTTCATTTGGAACTAGAGTAAATTTTCATCCTCAGTGTAAATGTGTTTGCTTTTTTAAGTGAAACTTAAAGACATAAGGGATGGGGACCAGGTGTTGTTATATAAAAAGATGAGGGAAATGAGAATGAGACTGGGTAGAAACCCTCCCTCGAGATGAGGAAGGGAGTACCGACACTATGCTGAGGGAATGGAGCACCCACCTACCTGATGAGGGACTGGGGAACATTGGTTTTGACAAATGGAATTGCCCCCTGTCTCCTGAGCACCTGCACCACCACGCTGTCCTCTGCTGCGGGTTTATTGAGGTTCTTTATAAAACCCATCGTGGAATCGTGACCCTGGGAACACAGGACAACGAGGTTTCCCAATGGAGGAGCGCAATTCCCCCTGTCCCCATATTTTTATCTATATATTTAAGCATATACACACACCTCCAACAACCCATCCACCACACACACATTTCTTAGTGCATTGACAGTAAATCTGACCAGCCTTCTCTGTTGACTCATACGGGAGACGGGTCAGGAAACACCCTCACCTGACAGGGCAGGCCATCCCACATCAGCTGTGACAGAGTCAAGCCAGATGCTGAGGTCAAACCTCCCCCTGCCACCAAACTTCAAACCACATGGATCTCAGGATATGCACAAAATCACGCTGGCAGTACCTGGCAGTCGATGGAGTCTTTGATGCTGACTGGCACCCCGTAGAGCAAACCTTGCTTCCCCGCCAGCTTCGCCTTCCGGAGCTGGGTCTCGCTTTCCTGCAGATACTCTGTGATGCAGTTGGTTTCTGTGGCGATTTGGAGGGCCTTGGGGAAAGCAGGCAAAGCCCACAGGTGAGACACAGCCTGCAGCACTGCACAGTGGCCTTCTGTTCTGCAAAGGAATACCTCCCTCTTCCCCCTTTTCCATCTCCCGTCTGAACAGTTGGTATCAGGGCAGCCCTTTCTGCTTCTTTTCAAGACATTTTCATGGCAAACTTCAAAATTATTTCTGGACACAGGGTGGGCCATAGCACCAGCTGGTGCATGATGAAGGGAGGTACTCAGCCCAGATGAATACCATGGACTTGATTGAGCTTCTGGGGCAGCAAAAATGATAATCCCAAAGAGGGAACCCAGGAGGTGATCAGGACATTATGGCAAAAGTAGAGAATGAACATGAACACTGACTTTTTGAGGTTTACCAACCCATTTGGAGATGGAAGGGAGACAACAGCAGCACTCTGTGACTTCCCTACAGGTATACCTGCCCAGAGAAGGTGTGGACTCACCTAGGAAAGCATTGGCTCTCCAGATGCTGAATTTGCTGCTACTTTTTGTTCCAAACCAAGCTAAGAGCTATGGCAGTCAGATGCCCAGCTCTCTCCTCACTCACAGAAAAGCACGGAAGGGCTCACTAACCAGTGAGCAGCAGCAACTCAGCAGCATTTTAAACCAGGTTTGAACCTTGTGCTGGGCTCCTCCAAAAAGAAGCCAGTCCCACAGTGGGTGAGATGCTGCCCCACCACCCCTGCTCCTCACCTTGCCCACGTAGGCGTAGAAGACGTGGTCCAGAGGGAGGGAGCCATCACGGAGTTTCTTGGACAGCTCCGGCAAAGGCAGAGAGAGGATGGAGACTACATTCACGGAAGGATTCTATGGGAAAGGATGAAGAGGGAATGTTACACCTCTACTTCAGCTGGAGGGTTGCTTTCTCCTTGGTCCCCTTTGTAACCCACACAAAAAAATATCTTCAATTTAGCAGCTAAATGTAGAATCTGCCTCAAGACCACATCCTGCTCTACCTGATACCAGCGAGCATGGTGTGAAACCTGCAGGGCCAGTACTAGCCCAGGCTTTCTCAGGCTTGCTTTCTAGCCAGAGCAGCCTCATCAAGCACTGATTAGAATACAGCCTTTCACACAGCCTTGTTCTGACAGGTCACGGCCAGGCCCGGGGGAACGTCTTAGTGCAATGGTTTCTGCTGAATTACAGAGTGGGAGCTGGCATCATGATTATAGACATTGTTACACCAAGGAACAAACCAGGACCTGGAGCCAGCTCTTCTCCTGGCACCACCAAGATACCCTACAGGGAAGCACAAAAAGCAGGGAACCTGGCAGCAGTCAGGTCATTTTTAGGTCAGCAGAAATTTCCTTACCACCTACTAAATAGCATGAAAAACGTGTCAAACCTCTCCACTCAAGCTGGACTCTGAACCCGAATGGCTCTGCTCCAGCCTGAGGCCGGGCTGCCTGACGGGATCGCGGGGCACCAACTCATCCCCCTCTGCAGCTGCGGCTGCACTTTGGCCCCTGCTGATAACACATCGCCTCTCGCCTCTTCCAGCTGCCTCCTCAACCGGCCTGAGCCTCCCACCACGGCGAAGGTGCCGGGAAGCTTTCAAACAGGGATTTTCCTTCCTTTTCTGCCGGCGACTGTTTATCCCGTTATCCCCCGCTGCCCCAGGTAGCGCTTCCTCCTCATCCCCACGACAGCGGCGATCGCTGCGATGGTGAGGGGTACACGCCCACATTGGCTCAGAAAGGGAAAATATGAGGTGCATATGTGGGTGCATATGAGGAGCCGGGATACCGCTTGGCAGCCCGGCCAGCCCTGCGGGAGCAGCCGCGCCTCTCAGGGAGGGCGGCACTGGGGGGGGTTGCGCGACGGGAAAAGCGTCCCAGGTGAGGAATCCCCGCCGGGCAGGGGCGGCTCGGCTCGCCCACGCGCCCGGGTGCGGGAGCGAGGATTGCGGCTCCCGGCGCTCACCTGCTCCCGAAAGCGCTGCGCCGCCGTCTCCATCTGCACCAGGCTGCGCTCCTGCCGCTCCTGCGCCTCCGCCACCTTCCTCCAGAGCCCCCGCCGCCGCCGCCATCGCAGCAGCAGCAGCAGGAGGGCGGCCGAGCCGCCGAGCAGGGCGGGCAGCGGGACCCGCATGGCGGGGCTGCGGCGGGGACCCCCGGCCCGGCGGGGACCGCCCCGCTCGGCACCGCACCGCCCGCTCCGCCCGCGCCCGGCGCCGCCCGCACGGCCCGGCCAAGGGCACCCGCCCGCCGGTGCGGAAGAGCGAGGCAAAACCTGGGCAGGATTCCGAGCCGGAGAGGGATTTCACCCGTTTGCCGCTGTGCGGGCGCGGCGCGGGCAGGGAGGGGGAGGTTCGGCAGCAGGAAGAGTTCCTGGGTGACAGCTCGCCCCTCCCTGTGCTGGGTGGTCTCTATCTGATGAGGTTTATTCGTTTTTCCCTTCCCGGAGCGAGGCTTTGATCTCCTCGTAATTTTCCCGTCCCTCTGGGGGCAGTCCTGGCTTGGAGCATCAAAGCAGCGGCGAGGGGAGTCCCAGAGATACCTGACTCCTTTGCATTTCTTAGAGCGAAGCAACTCTGTGGGAAAAAGAAACAATAAACGTCCCAGGAGGTGGCCAGCGGAGTTCACTTGTCACGGGCAGAGCATGGGTGTGCCTGCGCTATGCTGAGTGCCGCGGCTTCCAACAAAAGAAATCTGGCATCTCTGCTCTCCGCGGCCTTTCGTTTAGAGGGAAAGTCCAGAATAATTTCTTTGGCCACCAGCCCGATATGGGGTCTTGTTCTTAAAAAAAACTTCACCACTCCCAAAAGTTAGTCAGCAAATATTTCAAGCTATCCAGTTTAATACTGCCCATAGGGTTGTGAAAAACCCGTTGGGAAGGATCTGGGATATTTTCTCGCTTTGTCTGCCTCCCAGCAGGACGAGCTGTGCCCAACCCACCCGCGGGCAGATGCTGAGCTAGAAAATATGACGGAATCACATGCATCCAGGCTTGATTTTCCTGATGTTATTGCTCAGGCCACTGGCTTTTTTTAGTTCAGTCTTCAGGATCTCAGGGCTGCTCTGGCAGCACTCGAGCCACTTGTGCCAGTGCCTGGCTGCCTCGGAAGGAACTGCTGCACTGTACGTACACCATGTCCTGGGGCTCTTTACTGAACAATGTGGAAGCCTCAGAAATACTCAGCCCTCGCTGAACTTGTGGCCTACGGCTTCTTGTTCTGAGGATAAGCAGCTGCCTGTTATCTGGGTCAAGGAAATTACATGCAAGAACGGCAGCTTTCCCTGCTGAGTTGAGTTTTTTTCTTCTTTTTTTTTTTCCTTCCCCTTCCCCTCCCTTTTCAGATTGTGGGACTCAGAGGGTTACACAGTAATCCAAACTCCCAAGGACGCTGCAGACCCATGCTTGCAGACTACTCACAAGGAATTGAGGGGATTGGGTTGGTGGGAGTGCCCTTGAACTGAGTCAGGAGCATGTAATCAGCTCAAGGTTGGTGAGAGCAGATGTTGTCTGTCATGCCTATCTCATCTTTCCTTCTTTCTCACCCTGGGGGCTTCAGGCTCCTGCACTGATCTCACCCTCAGCTGCACTGATCTCACCTCGTGGCAGCAAGTGCCAAAACAGGGACGATCCCTTGTAGGCTGTAAAGCCATGTGCACCTGAGGTGTTTTAACATGAGAACAAGAAAGGTGGGGAACTTTGGAGAAACAGAAGCTAAAACTAGTTCTTGTGGAAGACAAAATTACTTCTCCAACCCTCTTCCCCCTAGTTTAAACCCTGTTTGAAATCTTTCACGCAGGAACAATTTTCAACTTCTGCAGTTCGTCTTATGAAAGAGAAGAAAACAAAACAGGAGTGTTATGCCAGGAGCTGCTGCCAGAGACTCTCTTTCTCCCCTTTCCTGGCAAAGTGTATGGGGGTGAATAAGTGGGGTTGAGGCATCAGGCAGGACAGTGGGTCTCTGCTGGGGCTGGCCAGCTCCAGGAAGTTAAATCAGAGCATGGGAAATCCAAAACCACAGTGGGTCTGTGCTATGACCCAGCTGCCAGCAGAGAAGGGCCAGGGGATGACACAGAGCAGAGGATGGGGGGCTCCAGCACATGCAGGTGGCGGCTGGGAATGCCCTGTCCGGGAGGATGTGCCTGGGAATGTCTAAGAGAGGTTAAATGGGTCCGATCTTGCTCCTTGTGGGCTGGGGTGGGGGCCAACTGCTGGCTTGTGGGGAAAGTGATACCCTGATGTCCCTCTGGGACACTGGTGTGTCCTTGCCAGATAAGCAAGTGAACTTTTCTGCTGTTATGTCCATAGGCTGCCCATATGCTGCTGCAAAAAGGGGCTTGAACCTTGGGGTGCTGGAACTGAAGATTGATCCTACCCCTGCTCCTCCTTCACTGCCTGGCAGGGCTGCAGCCTGTGGCTAAGAGAGGATGAAAGGATCAGCTGGATCCATGAAAACATCTTTCCCCATTGCCCACCCACCTCCCCGTGTTCATAGAGCTGTGACTGGGACACCACACCCCAGAGATGCTGTAACCCTGCAGTTACCAAAGGAGGGGCAGAAAGGCGTCATCTTCTATCTGTGACAAATCACACACGGTCAGCCAGACCGGCTCAGGCTGAAGGATCAGCTAGTTCCTGTTCACCTGACACCAGAGCAGTGCCAAGAGCACGGCAAACACTCGGCGGTGTTTTCCTTAGCACTGTCTCCTGGTGTCCGGAATGCTGCGGCCTCTCAAGCCAGAGGTTAGGTTAGAGTGACTAATAGCTGCGTGCTCACACAGATATTTCTTGTGTGATGCAACACAATTCTGGCACTCACAGCCTCCTGCAGCAGGGAGATCCACAGTTTATCCATGTCCTGTAGGGAAGTAACATCTCCTGTTGGCCTCCCACAGCTAATTTCATTTACTCCCCTTATTTTCAAAGAGGAAATCAGAAACTGTTCACCCAGGAATTTTACACTTCTGTTCCTCCATTTCACTCCACTGCTTTTAGACTGTTTCCCAGAGGTTAACAACCTGCTCCTGCCACCAGCTGCCAGTCACCTGCTTCCCAGGATCTAGCCCTCTGGAAGAATATCCAAGCTACACTTACAACAGCCAATAGTCCCTCTTGCTTAATTTCCCCTCTCCTTGTAGGTTCCTGACTCTGGAGTGGTATTAGTCAACATGATCTGCGAAAAGGTGAAGCAACTCCTCTCAGAGCTGGAGTTTAACCCTTGTGAGAAGGTTGCCCAGCAGCTTGGGCAAGAGGTAGCGTCACGTGGCAGTGATTCCTTTCACCCCTGCAAGAAAATTGCATGTTTCAACCAAGTTGTTCACTCCTTGACACTTCTATTGCTCGTTTTGTAGTCACTTCTGTCTGTGGAAGATTCTTGTCCTCCTCCTTGCCTGTGCTACAGAGGTCTGTCAGTGGGAGGGCTGGTAGCTCCCAAATCTGCCTCAAACTGGAGTGTCTGAGTTACCACAGTCAGTTTGAACACATGGTTTGTGCCAGCTTGGTGGACTCTGTTCTGAAGCAGATTAGAGAATGCTCACGTGTTTTCCAGCAGAGTGGAGGAGGAGTTGACCTAGAAGAGGACCATGACTTGCACTTGCACAAACTCTCTTGCTCCTTGTGCACCTGGCAGCTGTTGCATGGTAGTTTGATGGAGAGTACAGAAAAGCTGAAGAAATCATAGCAGTGGGGTCCCTAGGATGGAAGGGACCCTTTGGGAGATCCCTAAGATTGCTCAAGACACCTTAAGCAACTAGTTTCAGCTTCTGAAAACCTCCTTTCTATATAAATGAGGGAGTGGGAACTTATTTCTAGTAGTGTCTGTGTTAAAACAATCTGAATCTAAACAGTTTTGCATTAAAAAATAAATTAAAAAAAAGAGAAATGTTAAGTGAGTAAAATTACTCATGTAGTTGTTTTACACAGCTGAATGAAGATAATTTTATTGGCAATTGTGAGTGATTACAGTATTATCTGCCATCAAAAAAGTTATTTTTTTGAACGCTAAAGGAATTAATGATACATAAAACTGTGCTTAGATTGAGTGCATTCATCAGCAGAAACGCCTTGTGCTGGCACTGCTGCACTGTAATTACTCTGTCTGCTCAGAGGAAGAGAGCAAGAGATGAGGGCTGTTGTGGGTACTGACACAGATTTACGTACACACCGAGCAGCTCTGGCACTCGAGCAGGGGAAGCAGAGCTAGGACAGCAAAGCCGGTGAATGGGGGGACAAGTTTCACCCCTTCTTTTCCTTTATTGTTCATCACAGAGAGAAGAACGGGGGTGATTTCTGTGTTTAAAACTTTACAGGTTGAAGCCAGTATGGAGAAGATGGTTAAATGCTCCTCAGAATATCAAGGGGTGAGTCCAGTCTTCATAGGATGCTGCCTCATGGTGTTGTGAACCGATAAAACCAACCCTGGGGTTGCAGGCAGTCATTGCCCAGACCCGGGAGACTGATGGTGGTGGTGGGAGTAGTGGAGATGGTGTTCCCAAGGCACATCTGCTCATGCCATGTGCTTTGGGAGAGCCTGTCGTGCTGCCTCATCAGTGGGGCTGGGAGCATGGGTGCATCTCAGCGGGGACGGGGTGAGGAAATGTAGAAGAAATGGTCTCCAGCTTGCTCCCCACCCTGTGGCCCTCCAAGGGACACATAACACTGGGAGGGATGTTTACAGACTGGGACATGGCAGGAAAGGCTGTTGCAGGGATTGTGAACACTCTGTACAGAGTAGCAGGACGCTTGCCATGATACCAAGGATTTGGAGGGGCTTTTAAAGGAAGGGTGGTGGGTTGCAGCCCCTTTATGGAGCCCACGAGCCCCCTCCAGTGATGGACCCATGCTCTGCTCAAGCAGGGAACCTAAAACCTTCCGTGATCTCCATCTCCTTGTGCACAGATGCCTTCTGAGCTGAACCTTGAGCTAAATCAATAAATAAAGACCAAAGAGCCTTTTCAGCCCAAGGGGAGCACCAGGTAAGCATTTCTTGCTGCACCGAGGAGAGAGGCTGCTGGATGCGTTCCGCCTTTCGACTGCAGCCACCAGAGAGCAGGATTGAGCTGCTGTCCTTACAGGAATCTCCTGCTCGGAAGCTTTTGCATCCTAAACCCCTGCTCTGTATGCTCTGAACTTACAAGGAATGTTGTACGATGCAAAAAGCCCTTTTCGGGCCCTTGGGTGATGGAACAGCCCAAACTTTTGTGGAGAGCAGTGCTTTGATTTCAGGTGTGTTTTTTTGCTGTCTTAATATGCTGGGAGTTCTGCTGTTGGTCCATTTGGGCCAGATTGTTTTTGCTAAGGAGGACATCCCAGCAGGGCTTGATCCTGCGACCTGTTAGTGCTCAAGAGACCTGCACCTCTGCTGCTGCCAGGGTTTGTTGCTGTGACCAGGACTGTGCCTCAAGTCTGGCAGGCTGCCTGAGCCTTTGAGTAGAATCATAGAATCATTTGGATTGGAAAGGACCTCTGATGCCACTGACTCCAAGCCTTAACCCAGCACTGCCAAGTGCACCACTAAACTGAGTCCTGAAGTGCCACATCTACACATCTTTTAAATACCTCCTGGTTTTGTGACTCAGCCACTTCCCTGGGCAGCCTGTTCCAGTGCTTGACATCGGAATAAACTGAATGAGCCAGGGCATCTCCACCCTCTCTGGATGCACATTGCAGAGAAAGGGAAACAGTTAATATTATTTGTGTTTGGACCCCCACAGTCCAAGCTTTGAGGCTAACAGGGGGAGCCCCAACTTTAATCCTGACAGTCTTCCCCCAAAGTGATGTTATTCCATAGGGTGGGGTCAAGATTTAAGCGGGGTCCTGAGTCATAGCAGAGTCCTGAGCCCTTGTACATTTCTGAGTGTGACTGGGCTGAATCCAAACCTCCTTGGCCACTGGCACTGTGGTTTTCCTTGCCTGGAAAAAAATGTACACAAACACTGAGTTCTTTCCTTGCCTTTGCTTGCCTTGCTTTTCCCTTCCCCTTCCTCTTCCCCTTCCTTTTCCCCTTCCCCTTTTTTTTTCTGAGATCCCTGCTTTCTGAACAGGCCAGGAGAGGGAGACAGCCAGCCAGTTACTGCACAGCCCAGATTTCCAGCTAGCCCTGTTTGCTGTGGGATGGAAGCTAACACACTGTAGGCATACATGTTGATTTTCCCAGGGGGAGATTTGATCTGTGCAGCCCCCCCCGGGTCACCTTCAATTTACATGTACACGAGCAGAGTGGGCATCAGGCAGAAGGGGAAACTGAGGTAGGGAGCAGGACCATGCCTTGAGGGATCTGGCTGGTGACATCCTTCTTCTTGGTGACCTCCTGGGCCCTACTGCAGGTTGTGATTGGTCTGTGTTAATCTGTGTAAACATCCCTGTGTCTCAGGTGGGTCCTCGGGTGGTCTATAGGGGTCCATTTCAGCATCACCACAGCTGTCACCTCTATAGGGGCACACCATGCCCAACACCGAGGCAGCCCCTGCTCCATCCATGCCGAGTGTCTCTGCAATGTCCTGTACAACCAGCAGCTGGTCCCTGGTTCAGACCCCCATGATGGAAAAGTGGGGACCCACACTCGTGCCAAACAGTTATTGGCAAGTTCACCCAGCACTGTGGAGGTTCAAGAGGCAGGGATAAGCAGAGGCAGTGGCAGGAAGGTCCTTCCTGACTCCTGCCATGTCATTTTCCAAGAGTTATTGGAAAGCCACAAAGCACCGTGGCCCGTGCTCGCAGCAAACAAATCAATCGATTGATCGATCCCTCCCATTGCCCACGTCTTCCCTTCCCCTCTCATCCCTCCTGGGCCAGCACCACCAAAGGACTGGTGAGATCACCCCTGTGTTGAAAATAAATAAATAAATAAATAACCAAATAAAAATGCTGACGTGGAGAAGTCAATCAGCTTTGTGTGGCCTTGTAATATCTCATTTTATCCGCGCCACGCTTTATTAAATTCTCATAAACCTGTCAATGAGGACAGATACCATTTCAGTTTACCCCATTAGTTCTACACAATGACATCGGGAGAGAGGAAGGCAGGGAGGTGGGAGGGAGGCACTCGGCGTGGAGAAAAGAGGAATGAATTTAAAGAAAGGAAAAAAGAGAAACCCAGAGCCAAAACTCGGCTTCGTGACAATAATGTAATAACATCGGTGCTCAGGGAAAGTAATTGAATTAAGTGGCTTTTGTTAATGGTTTTAAGATTTAGAAATGTAAATAATAGTTAGGACTCTTTAATGGGACTCTGGTTTAGGTAACTGCATCCCTGAGAATAAGAAATGCTTTGCTGTTTAATATGATGTCAGATAGTTTTGTTACTCCCCCGGTTTCATGCCTGCAAAGCATATTTTGCAGTTTTAAAGCCGGGTGTGTTTATCATCTTTCCTTTCTAACTTCAGACGGAGCTTAATTCAGGAGTATTTGCATGAACCCTTCTTAGCCAGTCCCTATCAGTTATTTGCACCGCCAGGAATAAAGTATTATTTCTCCCGAGCTGCTTTGGAGAACTTCCTGACTGCAGGGTTACTCTGCTCCGAAGCCTCCTGTCTATTTACATGTTCATTAAAGGCAGGCAGCAGCGATGCTCTCTGTGGCAGGGCCAGACTCGGCTCCTGGAGTAACAGCACTGGGACCAGTGATGTTACACCGGGCTTAGGCCAGTGGGGATGGAGAATCCAGCCGACAGGTAGGATGAGCCGGGTGATTTAGAAATGACTTTCATGGGAAACTCGTTCTGCTTAAAATATTACTGGATTTTCATTTAGGAACCTATCAAAGTGCAAGAATAAAGTCTGAGCTGCCTAACCCACATAGGTCTAAACAAACAGCCTTCCCTTCTGCTCCGGGATCTGACAGCTCGCGGATTGGAGAAGGTCCTTCGGTAAGGCATGGGCTGAGTCTCAGGGAAACACACTGTGCCAGGCAGAATAGGGGGCTTTGCATTTATTCAGGCTGAAAATCTTCTCCTTTGCAGGATGAAGGCAGTCCTCTGTTTGTGCCAGAGGGATGCTGCCATCCCCACTTGTCCCCTTAACTCTGCCCGCAGCTGTGTGGGCAGTAGCAGCACAGGGACCTGCAGCTCTGCTCCTGCCATGCAGGGAGGCAAAAGCTCTCCCGTGGCTTTTGCTCCAGCCCCACAGCAAGTGAGCAACTCTGCATACACGGGGTCACTCTGGCATGTCCTTTGGGGGGCTGCCTTGTGACCTGCAGTGATCTCTGCCAGTGATGGCTTCAGCTCTGCTTCTGTGGCTGGAGACCTTCCTTCTAGCTGCCAGCTGCTTCCCACACCCAGTGGGATCTCAGGACATACACAGCCTCAAACACCTTTCTCCATCACCTTTAATAAGCCTTCTCCCATCACCTTCCCAAGTCTTTCGCCATCTCCTTCATAGGCTTGGCTGGAAAGAACCTAAATGCCCCAAGCCTAAGCCAAACCTGACCCAGATCACATGGGCAGAAATAGTTGTCAGATTCTAACTGCAAAAATAAAGGGTTCAAGTAACGCATTTCTCCAAGGGTGTTTCTTGAGTAGATTGTTCGCAAAAAAAAAGGAATAGTTCAGTTCCTCCTGAAGAATTTGAGAAGATGTTTCTCATTGCTGTCCATTTGTCATACTGCTGTAAAGGGAAACTGGGGTAGAACAGAGGAGTCTGTTTCTTCCCTCATGGGAAAATAAAATAAGAACAAGAAGAATATTACAATTAAAACAACAAAACCTTCACTAATTTCCCTGCATTAGAAAAGAAAACCCAACCACTCTATTAATGATCAAATTATTAAAACCAGCCCCTGACATCACAATTTACCTCTGATAGATCCCTTTTTCCTGACCATGACACCAGGGCACTGCTCAT